GATCCTGGGAAAGCAGTGGAGGATGGTGCCCCCATGTGGTAGAACTGTAAGAAGCTTCTGGCTCCCAGCTCCAGTTGAGCACAACTCTGGCTCTTAGTTTCAAATCTGTCTTCCAAATCAAGCTGAAACTATCTCAAAAAGTAAGGAAAGGAGGAGAGAAAGTGGAAACGAGGTGGGAACGAAGGGTATGGTGTTAAGTATCCTTAAATTCTTAGAGCAGTACACGTGATGGGGTTGCTGTGGTGGAACAGTGGTTAAAGCCATCACCTGTGACACCAGCATCCTACATGGGCCAAATTGTCAGCTGCTCTAGTTTAGATCTAGCTCCCTGCTCAGGGCATGGGAAAGGCAGCAGAAGATGGTGCAAGCGCTTGGTCATATTGCAGCCATCTGGAGAGTGAATCAGCAGAGGGGAGCTCTCTCTGCCTCTCTCCCTTTTTCTCTCTCACTCTCTCCTGTCTCTGTGACTCCTGCTGTATTCCAAGATGCTCTGGAAGGGAATTGAGTCAAAATGGGGCACCTAGACTTGAACCTAGGTACATAAGGGATGCCAGTGTGATAAGCAGCAAGTTGCCCATCCAATCACCATGCCAGCATCTCACATGTGCATCTTGAAAAGATTAAAAAGCGTAAGGTCACAGTCTGGAAGATGTTTCTCTGAAACATGTGCTCTTTTTGCTCAAACAAAACATCTGCCAGAAACTCTTCAGACAGTGCTTCTGTATGCTAAAATCTGTTGCACTCTGAAGACTGCAGTTACACAGCAAAAAATGTTCTCCTGCTCAGAGAAGTAAGCGTTCTACAGTGTAAGAACTTTCACAAAGCTACACTTTATCAACTCCTTGCCTCCCTAAAGAGCTGTACGAGCATCATGCTTTATGTAGTCTTCATGATTGTACAGCTCTCTAGGGAGGTAAGGGGTTGATTTAATACGTAGGAGGCCATTGTGTTAAAGCCAAAAGTACTTGGGGCCAATGTCATAGTAAAGTGAGATAAGATGAATTCCAGATATGGAAGGAGGCAAAGAAATCATGAAAGACACACAACACTTACCAAGTTCTTCCTTTCTTGTGGAATAGAAGAATTAATAATATTAAAATGTTTATACTATCTAAAACAATCTAGTTCCAATGCAGTTTTACCCAGAATATCAATGACATGCATCAACAGAAACAGGAGCAAGATTTAGAATGCACATGGATTCTTGGAGCTCCATGGAGGCACCCGGCTCATCCCTTGGCAGCAGACTGAAGGCTTTGTGCACTTGGCTGGTTCACGGTGTGATATGCTTAGGAACTGTGTGCTTGTGGACATGATGCTGCACAGGAATCTTACATATGGTATAACCCTGCTTGGCCATGTATCCCAGTCTGCAGCCCAGTGGAGCATGGCACTCTGTACCTGGTTGCACTCATAGGCACCCAGCCTGGCTTACCTGATGGCTGCCGGCAGACAGGGGTGCAAGGCTCCACTCATCCAGGGATGGCAGAGTCTATGTTTGGGCTATTGTGAGCAACAGTGCTGCCATAAACCTGGTGCTGGTGCTGGAACTGAGGTGCCCCAGGTTGAGCTACCCTGCAGGGCCAACATCCCAGGCAAGCACTGGGTCAGGTCCCAGAGACCTCACTTCCAATTCAGTCCCCTGCTACTTTACCTGGGAAGATAATACAGGGTGATGTGCATCCTGTACCCCTGCCACCACATAGGAGACACAGAAGCAGCTCCTGGCTTAGCCCAGCCCCAGCCATTGCAGCCTGCTGGGCTGTGCACCACTGGATCAAAGACCTCTCTGTCTCTCTCTTTCTCTCTCTGCAACCATGCCTATGGACTAAATGATTATTTTAATGTACATTAACACAATGAACGAGGTATGTTTTTGAGGCAACGGATTTATGACTTTTGGGTCTATATCTGGTACTAGGACTGCTAGATCATACGACACTTGTATCCCTAGCCATTAAGGAAGTCTCCACACTATTTCCCATAGTTTCCACACTGACAGACAACAAGCCAATGGTGTGTTGAAGTTGCCCTTCCCCACATCCTTGCTGGTGTGTGTTGCTCTTTTGAGGGTAAGAGCTATTTAGATTGTGTTGAAGTGATATATCTTCATCATTTTTTAAAAAAAGATTAAATTTTTATTTGAAAAGCAGAGTGAGAGAGAGTATTTAGATTGTGTTGAAGTGATATATCTTCATCATTTTTTAAAAAAAAGATTAAATTTTTATTTGAAAAGCAGAGTGAGAGAGAGAATATCTTTCAGCTACTGGTCCCCTCCCCAAAAGATCACAACAGCCAAAGATTAGCTGATCCAAAGCCAGTGATGAAGAACTTGTGGTCCTCCTAGTGGGTGCAGGGACCCAAGCACTTGAACCATCTTCTGGTGCTTTCCAAGCTATTATTAGAAAGCTGGATTGGAAGGGAGCTGTCAGGTCCTTGAACCAGCACCCGTATTGGCTTAGCCTATTGTGCACAGTGTCTCTTTGGGGTTGCAAAATGCATTTTCATAGCTAGTTATGTTAAGCATTTTCCCCTTACTTTTGTTCTCCATTTCCATTTGTAATATTGAGAATTGTCTATTCAGTTTCTTGTTCCATTTTTTTATTAAATGCTTCTCTTGTTGTAGATGTAAATATATTGTTGAGTAAGGAGCATGCAGGAATCTTCTCCCATTCTGTCACGTGTCTAATCACTCTTTTGATGTTTCCATGGCTATGCAGACATTTCTGATATATATTAAATTTAACTATCCTACTTTTGCTTTTGTTGCCTGATCTTTGGAGTCTCACTAAGAAACAATCACCCTCATTGATGTTTCTAAGTATCTCCCCTACATTTTCTTGTAACAATTTCATTGTGTCAGGACATGAATTTAGGTCTTGGACCCAGCTAGAGATAATTTTTATGAGGTATGAATCTAATTTTATTTTATATATTGACATATATTTTTGCCAGTAACATTTATTGATGACTTGTGGTTCTCCAAAGCGTGCTGTTGTTACTTTTCTCAAAAATCATTTATTTTTTGTTATCTTTTCAACATCTTTATTCTAATTGATACTTGTAAAATTTTGTTTTAGGACACAGTTTAATAAGCACTTGGATTCCCATCCGTCATGCCAAGTTCCCTCCCCGCCCCACTGACACAGCCATTCCCTGAGAAGACGAGCAAAACATCCCCTAGCTATGCTAACACTGAGCATGACCAGGGCACAATCTCTTAAAAACAAGTGTATGCCTACTTTTACTCCATAGTAGAGATGCATGCGGTCGATTTTCCCTGAGTCCTGGTAGTCTGGCCTCTGCTGCATCCTTCCATTGTAGGGTTTCACGTGTTTGCTTGTTGCCCTCTATGTTGCTGCTGTTGTGTATGCTTAGTGGCTGTTATGTTAGAGCCAACATATGATTTCTGACCTTTTCCAGTTGGCTCTTTACCTTAGAAAAATGGTCCCCATTTTGGTCCACTTGCCTTCAAATTGTTGTATTTCATTCTTTCTAATAGGTGAGTAGAATTCCATAGCCTAGATGAAGCACAGTTTGTTTATTCAATCTTCTGCCAATGGACATCTAGATTACTTCCATATTTTTGCAATTTTTAATTGTGTTGCAATGAACATGTCCTATGGACATCCACAATTGTTAATATGCCTTATTGTTGATTCACGGTCATAGACTTAAAGCTCTAAGTGGCTCAACTGATACAAAGCTAGGAAACTCTCGATTTGTGGAGAAATGGTGCCTCCTACTGGCCACCAGAGAGAATCACAACAATAAAAATATCAATAGACGATCCATTCTCGGTCATAGAATTTAGCATTTTGGGGTCCAATGTTTTTACATAGCACATGGATTATGGCATGCTAACTTTTGCGTTACCACACATCCGAAAGCACTGTTCTCCATTATGCAACTCAATCCAGTGCCGAGTCACAAATTAATCTTCTGGATGAGAACATCTTTTTAAAATATTTATTTATATTACAAAGGCAGATATACGAGAGGAGGAGGAGAGACAGAGAAGGTCTTATGTACAATAATTCACTCCCCAAGTGACTGCAACGGCCAAAGGTAAACCAATCTGAAGCCAGGAACTTCCTCCAGATCTCCCACACGGGTGCGGGATCCCAAGACTTTGGTCTGCACTGCTTTCCATGGCTAAAAGCAGGGAACTGGATGGAAAATTGAGCTACTGGAATTAGAACCGGCGCCCATGTGGGATCCTGGCGTGTTAAAGGCGAGGACTTGAAGTACAGGCATTTCAGGAGTAATAAAAATTTTACTCCTTAGCAAAATCCACACTTCGTCAGAATTTGAGTCAACAGGGACCCTCTCTGTATATCCGCCTTTCCAATAAAAATAAAATAAATCTTTAAAAATAAAAAAAAAAGAATTTGAGTCAACACAGAACCGGATTCTCACGTCTCTGCTATCTGGATGAGGACCGGTTCTGACGCACTAGGTCTCTCTCCTGATAACAAGATCATTACTAGGTTCCTAAGGAACCAGAGCTGAGCCTCCTGGGAAATGTAGTCTCCCGATGACGTCATCAGCAAGCGCCTGGGAAGGGTCCTTCCAGGGTCTCCTGTGCTTTCTCGCCATTTCCTCTCTGAATTCCAGGCTTTGTGTCTCTGCTGGAAATGACCCACAGTTTGTGCATTTGGTTTCATGTCCTGGCAAACTGGGATGAGAGACAGAGAGAAGTCCTGTGGGCTTTGCAGGCCCCGGAGTGGAGTGGAGTGGTGCTCCCCACGCGGTGAGTGCAGACCCAGCGGTGCATCTCAGCGGGCGCCACCCCATGTAGACGGAACCTGCACACGGGACCGCGTCCAGAACGATGGCGCTGCATCCTCTGGCTGGGAAAGGGTGAGGAAGACAGCGCGATGTCAGTGATCACTCTGCCGGAGACTGGCGTGTGCTCCTGGAACAGGAGGGGAAGGAGCTGCCTGGACGAGCCGGCCGTGTGTGCTGGCTGTGCAGCCACAGGCTCCCGGCGAGGTGCACTGCGAGGTGTGTGAAACCACATGCTGGCTCTGGCGCTGAGAGCCCCAGCTGGAGATGAGCACATCGACAGCACTGCCCGGTTCCCTGAGGACTCTGCGAAGTGCAGTGCTGGTTTAGTAAGTGATGTCCTGTTTCCCGCATGGGGCTGCTGGCTTCCTACTCCTGCTCTGAGTGTCCAGTTCACAGGAGATCCGGGGGCAGTGAATTCTAGGAGGGGGATTGTGGCCCTGGGTGATGGTGTCCTGATGTGTGATGGGAAGTAGCTGCTATGCATTCCTGCTTGCACCTTACTTGCTCTGTGCTGTTCTTTCTTTGGCCACATTCAAGATCTTCTCTTCAAGTTTAGATTACGGTAACTTGGTCATGATTTATCCTGAACAGTTTTTTTTTTTTTTTTTTGAGTTTTTGAGCAAGTTGAAGGTGTAAATGAGGCTTTTCACAAAATGCAGGGAGAGTTTCACGTTGTTTCTAAGCCCATATTTTCTATTCCCTTTTCCTCCATAATCCAGCTGTGCTGGCTTGCATGGAAAATTGTCACGGAAGGTTTTAAGTCTCTTTCCATTTCTCATCGCCCAGCACAGATTTGAAAATACCTATGATCTCTTAGGATGACATTACTTCCTTTAGCTGTTCTGTATCTGTTCTGAAGCATCTCCGTGGGTTTCCTTTAGCGGCTGGGATTGTGGTGCAGTGTCTTAGGCCCCTGCCTACAATGTTGAAATCCCATGTGAGTATAAGTTCCAGTCCTGCTTGTTCCACTTCTGATCTCTCTCTCTACTAATGAAAAAGGGACATTGTGGCAGATGGCCCCAGTGCTTAGGTTCTCCTCCATGGGAGAACGTGTTGGAGTCTCCTGGTTTTTGCCTGTCCCTGTTCTCAGCCGTTAGGACCCATTCAGGGGTGAACAGTGGAGCGGGGCATCTCTGTCCTTATTTCCTTGTGACGATTTCTTTACTTTATTGGAGAGGCAGTTACAGGCAGAGAGGGAGAGGCTGAGAGTCTGCCCTGTGCTAGTTCACTCCTTAAATGGCCCTAATAACAAAGGCCACCCAGGGCAAAGCAGGATCCAGGAATGCATGCAGCGGCCCGAGGACTCGGGACATCTTATGTAGCTTTTTCAGGCACAACATCAGGGAGCTGGATGGGAAGTGGAGTAGACTAGCTTAAACACTGGAGACTGTATAAGATCCTTGTGCTTTGGAAGGAGCAGAAGAAGGCCCAGGTGCTTGCAGCCACCTGTGTGGGAGACCTGCGTGGTGCTCCACGTTCCTGGGGCGGCCCTGGCTGGGCCCTGGCTGGGCCCTGGCTGCTGCACTCCTGGAGAGGAGTGGATCAGCTGACAGGAGATCTGGCTGTCCTGCTCTGTAACTCTGCCTTTCAAAAACTAAAGAAATCCTTTAAAAGTGAAATAGGAAGCCAGGATTCGAATTGGCACTGTGGTCATATGTGACAGCTTGACCTGTTACACCGCAACACTAGCCCAAGTGCCTTTTTCAATACACACATGCGTTAATTTACACCATGATGTCTTCAGCGGCCTCTGTGTGTTTGAGACAGATTATCATCTTTATTATTTTTTTTAATTCTGGCATCCTTTAGCCCTTACTATTTTTCTTAAAAAGAATACCTCATTTTTCATATCGACTTTGGGTTGATGTATGCAGCTGAAGAGATTTCTTGGTGTAGAGTTCAGTCCTGAGTTGAGGCATTGTTGTCACTTTCCTTCTGCTTGAGGCTTACCATCTGTCTGGGGCTGTGATGCATTGTTCTGAGAGATAACCCTGTGCAGTGCAGTTTCCTTTTTTATATTTACTCATTTGAAAGGTTGTTGTTTACTTTCCTTTTTAATTTACTCACTTGAAAGACACACACACATACACAGATATATTCCACCTGTTGTTTTAGTGCAGGTGCCCGCATGGTCAGGGGTGCGTCAGGCTGAAGCCCAGCTTCTAGAGCTCCATCCAGGACCACAGCTGCTTGAGCTGCTGGCTGCCAAGGTGCACATCACCAGGAAGCCAGAATTGAGCCTAGATTGAAGTCCAGGCACTTCCAACATGTGGTGTTGGCACCCAGGTAACACCCTAACTCATACTGTAAATACCTGCCCCTACGCTTTGATCTAACTGTATTTTCTCCCCAGTATCCAGTGCCCTTCTGTCACCTTTCCCTCAACACACTTAGTTACTTTTAGTAATCATCATTGTAATTTCTGATGAGCTTCTAAAAACGCCTCCTATGCACTAAAGGAACCCTTCAGAATTTGCCTTTTTGTACCTGGCTTAGCATCCTGGGCAGAGTGATCACCAGATCCATGTCTTTTCCAGCAGATGCTAAGATCTGATTCTTGTAACTGAGTACTATTCCACCGTGTATTTGTAACCTTTTCCTTCATCCATTCACCTGTCGATGGAGACCTGGCTTGCTTCCCTCCCCTGGCTGCTGTGCACGATGCTCCAGTGAGTCCTGGAGGACAGGGATCTGGGGTGCTGCTTTCCTCTTTCTCAGTTATGCACAGAGGAGATGGCATTGAAGCTTTTAGAGCAAGCTGACGCTGCTCTCACTGGTGTGTTCTTTGTAGCTCTATCACCATCACATGAGGATTCCCTCCTCCCCACAGCTCTACTAGTGTGTATGTAATGATTCTGATAACATCTTTCCCAGATAAAGTGAGATGACCAACTTTGTTTTTTACCATGACCCTGGTCACTAGTGATAAGTTTTGCACGTTTGTTGGCACTAGTATTTGAAAATATCCCGGTTGGATTCTTTGTTTAGTTCTTAATGGAGTTCTTGTATTAGTAGTTTTTTTGCTAATTCCTATGTGTTCTATGAATTCCTTCACAGGTGAATGGTTTCCAAGCATTGTAAGAGTTCAAGAAAAATCTTGTGAGACTCCAAGGATGGTGAAATGATTTTTATTTAACATGCAGTTGGGCGCCCAGCTCTTGGAATGAACAGCAAGTAAATTGAACAAAGTAAGCATGAACTGTAAATAGCAAGTATCTATGGGAAAATCAATACCTACATGATATAAATACATAATGGGGGTTATTTTCTGATATTGATCAGTTAAAAATTAACAGTGTTTATAGTGCAAAATCCCAGGATTCCAATCCTATCACCTGTAGACAGTAAACAGCATGCCTCGAAGGTAACTGTCCTTCCTGGGAATTCTAAAAACCCCAAGATCATTCCTATCTCCTGTTTGCTTCCTGGTGTTTCAGAATCAGGGTTTTTCCCATGACAGGATGTAGGTGTTTCTTAGGAGGTTGCAGAGTTCCAGGAATACATTCACCTTGCCAATTATTCTGTCCTTTCCTCTTTGTTGTGAATTACAAGGCATAAACATATTAACGCTGTAGTGATGTTACGTCATTGCTTGGTATCATTGGGTCTGTTCTTGCACACTAAGCAGATACAATGCAAAAAGGCATTATGTAAGTATGATCAAAATAATAATTCCTACTCTCCCGTAAATTAGCCATTGGTAAAAAGGAACAGAGAACATATGTTCATTAAAACTAGGTACCTGGAACCTTGTGTAACTTCCCTGAGAATGGATCCAATTTCTCATTCCAGTTCTAACTATTGACCAGAAACATTTTCCTGGCACATAAATGCTGTCTTGCGCTATCCCAAGGTAACGAAGATTGATTCCAACGAACGGGAATACCACAATAGGGGGTATATTCCCAGTCACACTTTAATGAAAGTCTTTGATTGATAGGTTGTAGTTGATCTTCCAAAAGCAACATGGTCAATTCCAAATTGCTGGGTTCTGCATACAAGTGCTTGCTCTGATTGATGTGATGCACAAGCAGGGAGCTGGATGGGAAGTGGAGCTGCCGGGATTAGAACCGGCGCCCATGTGGGATCCTGGCACATTCAAGGCAAGGACTTTAGCCGCTAGGCCACGCCGCCAGGCCCACATATATGGACTCTTAAAACATTTAAAGACTGTGTGGAAAAACAAATTAATGTTAGTGCTAGAATTTAAGCAAGGGTGGAAAGAACACCTAGTACTGGGAACCAAACCTGATATCTATTCCTATATAGGAACTGCCTGCTTTTTCTTGGTGGTAAATGGAAAGAAACCACTTTGGTTAGCAACCTGTCCTTGCCAAATCTCACGTGCTTTGAGTGCCGTTACTAATTTCCACAGATGATTTTGTTTAGGCTGCTGAAGGATTTCAGGAGCTGGAGGATACCACCCTGCTGCTTGCAAGGTGATAGAAGCTGGGCTGCTTAGTCCCATTTGAAGGGAATCACTGTGGGCCTCCTGCTGCAGACTTAGAGCACAGTGACTTGTGCACTTGTCACACGGCTATCCTCAACACATCCTCAATGTATCCAATGACATGACTAAGGCTTTCCTGCACATATGTAAGTATATATATATCTATCTATATCTATGTATATGTATATATATATATATATATATACATATGTCTCGAGTGAGTCTAGTTAAGAATATGACAATAAAATCCAGTGGCTTGGATAGAAACAGCTGCGGTTCCTTGCTGCTGGTTAAGAGCCATCAGCCATGATTGCGGATATGCATGGAAACAGTGTTCCCCATATCCTATGCAGCTGGGTATGCCATCGAACCTGTCTCATAAGTGTCATTTAATATCATCCCCTCCTCTGCAGGCTTAAGAGGTCCCCTAAGATCCTAAGGATCTCACAAGTAAATAATGTAAGTTATACTAGAACTGTGACATTGACCCAGGTTACTGGTCTGCTAACCAGTGGATGAGGAATGTAAGTCCAACAAATGCAATTACTTGCCCGGGAGGAGGTTGTCATGGTAATAGCTAGCATCACCAACAGAAGTGTTTCTGTGTTAAAAGATTGTCCTGTTTTCTTGTGCTAGTTTGGCACCAACTTCTCTTACTCCTTTTAGTGGACCCCAGAAAGGCAGCTTAGGAAGTCACTGGTGCAGATAAGGACAAATGTCGCGTTCCAGCAGTGGCGCCATCTAGTGGGGAGCCAACATTCTGCGTTGTCTGTAATGGTAGGAGCAAAACCTCCCCCCAAACCTGACAGTCCCCTTTCCCATTCCTTACTTCCTGGTACTTGTTCCATCATGTGAAGATGGAGTGTGCCAATATTTGTCTATTTTGCAACTTCCATCTTCATATCGATGTAAAGGTTTGTTTTTTAAAGATTTATTTAGTTTTCTTGAAAAGTCAGATGTGCAGAGAGGAGGAGGGACAGAGAGGAAGATCCTGCAATGACTCACTCCCCTAGTGACCACAGCGGCCGGTGCTGTGTCGATCTGAAGCCAGGAGAGAGAAACCTCCTCCAGGTCTCCCATGCGGGTGCAGTTTCCCAAGGCTTTGGGCCATGCTTGACTGCTTTCCCAGGCCACAAGCAGGGAGCTGGATGGGAAGCAGGGCCACTAGGATCAGAACTGGCGACCGTATGGGATTCTGGTGCGTGCAAGGCGTGGAGCTTAACCACTACGCTATCTCGCTGGGGCCAATTTATGGATTATAAAGGAAAAATATGTTATCATTAGCTTTTATTTGTGACTACCACTATTTTCCCTTTTTTTTTTAATATTTATTTTTATTTTTATTACAAGGCCAGATATACAGAGAGGAGGAGAGACAGAGAGGAAGATCCTCCGGTGATGATTCACTCCCCAAGTGAGTGCAACGGCCAGTGCTGCGCTGATCTGGAGTCAGGAGCCAGGAACCTCCTGCAGGTCTGCTACAGGGAGCAGGGTCCCAAGGCTTTGGGCCAGACTTCCCACCCAGGCCACAAGCAGGGAGCTGGATGGGAAGTGTAGCTGCCGGGATTAGAACCTGTGTTCTCATGGGATGGATCCCGGCGCATTCAAAGTGAGGGCTTTAGCCACTAGGCCACCGCACCTGTCACTGTTGTCTGTCTTAGCTGATCAATATCAATACTAATATCTGTCGAAAAAATTAATAAGTGTAGAATATCATTCGTACATGTGAAATGGCACACTGTTACACACAAAATTAAATTTTCAGAATCTGCAAGGATTGAGAGGTAGATATCGTTTCAGAGACAGCACTACCACAATATCTTTAAACCCAGAGATAATTCAGTGCTTGAGACAAATGCCAGACATTATGTGCTGGAGCAGGAGCAATGCAGGCTTCTGTCTCAAAAGATAAACTTCTGGTTAATAAGCCTAATCCAGTTCTCATGCTTCGAAACACGTTCACGGGATTTGCATTCATTTTAAAGGCCATCTAAATGCAGCACTTTGCCTCCAAAAGCATTGACTTTAGTAGTGATTCTGTAGGAAGATGAACTTTTGTCATAGAGAATCAGGCCACGGTGCCTAGTTGCGTATGTTGAAGTGTTCCTCTCCCACTGCTGTTGAGCTTTTGTAGATACTGATGCATGAAAATAATCTGACGGTGCCTGAGTCAATGAAGGCAGCCTGTTTTCATCAAATGTCAGTTTTGGGTTGCAGCCATAATAACTTGAATTTCCACATTTTCCTGTGTCTGTCAGGAGGAGTCTGCTCAATGAAATGCCCAGTCCAAAGGCTGTGATGGATGTAGGGACTGCTGCAAGACCAGACTGTGAGCATCACAGAGAGTGTGAACAGCTGCAAGGAGCCTGTGACCCGGCAAGGTGTGACGACTGTGGAGCCACCCGGCCTGTGACTGGGCAAGGTGTGATGACTGTGGAGCCACCCAGCCTGCAACCAGAGCATGGTGGGACGACTGTGGAGCCACCCAGCCTGTGACTGGGCAAGGTGTGACGACTGTGGAGCCACACAGCCTGCGACCAGAGCACGGTGGGATGACTGTGGAGCCACCCAGCCTGTGATCAGAGCATGGTGGGACGACTGTGGAGCCACCCGGCCTTCGACCAGAGCATGGCGGGACGACTGTGGAGCCACCCAGCCTGTGATCAGAGCATGGCGGGACGACTGTGGAGCCACCCAGCCTGCGATCAGAGCATGGCGGGACGACTGTGGAGCCACCCAGCCTGCGATCAGAGCATGGCGGGACGACTGTGGAGCCACCCAGCCTGCGATCAGAGCATGGTGGGACGACTGTGGAGCCACCCAGCCTGCGATCAGAGCATGGCGTGATGACTGTGGAGCCACCCAGCCTGCGATCAGAGCATGGCGGGACGACTGTGGAGCCACCCAGCCTGCGATCAGAGCATGGCGGGACGACTGTGGAGCCACCCAGCCTGCAACCAGAGCATGGTGGGACGACTGTGGAGCCACCCAGCCTGCGATCAGAGCATGGCGGGATGACTGTGGAGCCACCCAGCCTGCGATCAGAGCATGGCGGGACGACTGTGGAGCCACCCGGCCTGCGATCACAGCATGGTGGGACGACTGTGGAGCCACCCAGCCTGCAACCAGAGCATGGTGGGATGACTGTGGAGCCACCCGGCCTGCAACCAGAGCATGGTGGGATGACTGTGGAGCCACCCGGCCTGCAAACAAAGCATGGTGAGACGACTGTGGAGCCACCTGGCCTGTGACCGGGCAAGGTGTGACGACTGTGGAGCCACCCAGCCTGCCCATGGGAAGTCTTTGTACACAGGTCAGTGCATGGTGCTTCAGATCTACTATTCCAGATTCAGTCTTTAAGTCCCAGTGAGAAATAATCTATTCCAAGCTTTGGCATGCTCATTGATCTGAAAGCATTTATTTTGCATCACTGAGTCACAAAGGCTCCCATGTACATAGCATGCTTTTTGTCTGTTAAGTGTTATTATATCAGATGGTCATAACTGAGAGCTAAAAGTGTGAACGTCTGATTGAGGGTCGCAGTTCTCAAGCGCCCAAGATGCGATCTGAACTAACACATCCTCATTGTGTAGTCCCAAGTTGTTTTGCACCATCACATGCCAGCTAATTAAAACAAAGAGGCTCTGGATGTGGTTTACCAGTTGGAACTCTAGTTCTTAGTGTCAAGTCTCCATTATCTGAGACACCAAGGCCGTCACGGCAGAGGGAGCTCCCGGATAGAACATTGTTAGTAAGGAAGAGTCTCTGGAGGAAATAGTTAGGCTTGCTGCTTGCGCCGGAGAAAACACTCTGTTCACTGCACGGGAAAGAGACACAATGTCTGCTCAGCTTGAACATCTGAAGTTGGAAGACAGGGCGGCTCCATCAGCATGTTGCTAGGGTTCCTTGTTTAGGAGAAATGTTGGGACCACTCCTAAACTGACTGGGGTATGGCAGGACTTCATAGAGTGAGATGTGCTCCCAGGACGGGCTGCGGAGCTGCGTCAGGCCTGGGGAGATGCTGGGCTTCCCGCGTGATGTGCTCCCAGGACGGGCTGTGGAGCTGCGTCAGTCCTGGGGAGATGCTGGGCTTCCTGTGTGATGTGCTCCCAGGACGGGCTGTGGAGATGCGTCAGGTCTTGCTGCAGAAGCTTCCTTTCCTTATACCTTGCTCATACCCTTAGACTGATTTCTCTCTTACCTAGAATTGTGTATACAATTTCATAAATAAGTGTGTCCGGTTATGCCAGGTTCCTGTTTGATTTATTTGAGAGACAGACACGTGAGAGAGAGCCCCTGTGTGCTGCCCCACACCCCAAATGCTCAAAGTAGCCAAGGCTGAGTGAAGAGCCACACCTGGGCTCCCAGTTGTTTTGGGGACCTGATCTGCTGGGCCCTCACTTGTTGCCTCTCCAGGTCTTCCTCAGCAGTGAGCTGCAAGCGGGCAGGGCGTCAGCTCAGACTGTTACTTGGATGGGATGCAGCTGCTCCAAGTGTCATCTTTAACCACTAGCTCCGAGGCTTGGTTCACTGTTTATTTCCATAATGATAGCAGATTTTCATTGATGTTGTGATTCATATTGGTGATATATCCCCAAATCATTACTTTGGCTTGTAAAAGTATGATGCTTTGCTGCCAGTGCCATGGCGTAGCAGGCTAGGCTTTCCTCTGCTGCTAGCACCCCACATGGGCTGTGGATATGTGGATAGTTTTCAGTAATTTATATCAGAATATTGTTTTCATCACCAAGTCAGTTTAACTAAATGTGAATGGATTCGCAGAGGATGGCCTGGTAGTGGGGTGCAGGCAGTGAACCAGGACAGGTGTCCTGGCCCCTGGGGCTGAGGTGGCTGGACAGAAACATGAGCATGGAGTGGGGAGCAAAGCAAGGCATGGGCTGGATGAATTTTTTGCAAAGCTGCAGTGAATCTCGGGCCTATCTACATGAGGGACTAGCAGAAACAAGGGCTGTGTCAGTGCCTCCTTGGGGGTCACTCCCCATCACCTCGTTGCATTCGGACTATGAGACTAGTAAAACAAAGACATTGTATGTCAATGGGAATTGATTGTTTTACCTGCAGTGTCACTGACCCAATATTTACACGGAAGCCGGGGCAGAGCAAAGGGCTCTTTAGTTTCAGTCCTATAGGTGCTGTGGTTCTGACCCAGGAGTTCTTTAACACCCAGGGTGGCTCTGTTCCCATTGCCCTGCTCTTCCAAGTGCAGCTTCTATTACAGGCACCTGTTTGCCCAGTAGCCTGGCTTCCCCCAGCACAAACAAGCACTGCTCGGGGGCCCAATGGATTTGGAGGGCATCCCTGATGGCACAGTAGGGCAGAACCATTTCTAACTGTCCTGCTGTCCAGCTAACTCCTTATGCGTCTGCTCTCTGATCAAGTAGACATTACGTATCCTTTAGAATGTTAGCAAGGGCATACTTAGCTGTAAAACTTTCATGGACTTAGCGAGAAATCTGTAGCAACAGGCATGCTCTGACTGTGTTTCTGCAGTGAGATAAGGTAGAATGATAAGGTCAGGCCTGGCATGTGGGCTCAGTGACTCCGTGTCCTGCATGCGTGAGGGTGCCATGTGAACACTGGTTCATGTTCCGACTGTCCCATTTTCCTTTCCAGATTTCTGCTTGTGGCCTGGGGAAGCAGCAGAGGACAGCCCAGAGCTTGGGATCCTGCACCCATGTTGGAGACCCAAAAGAAGCTCCTGGCTCCTGAGTTTGGATTGTCTCAGCTCTGGTTACTGAAGCAACTTGGGGAGTGAAGCAGCATGTGGAAGATATTTCTCTGTCTCTCCTTCTCTCTGTAAATTGGCCTTTCCAGTAAAAATAAATACATCATAAAAAAGGGGAAAGACATGACGATGTATGAATTGACCTGCTTTTTACTTTGGTGAGAATGGGATGGAAGAGTTGCCTGTTTACTGTGTGCATGGCAGAGTGGGTGCAGCTGTGAAATGAATGTACGCTCTCATTGTGGCTGTGCTTTGTGGCCTCTATGTAACCTGGCTGTTTGGTCTTTTGAGTCTGGCCAGCCATATCCCTGGTAAAAGGTCTGGAGGTCCAACTGCACATCCTGGGAGTCCTTCACAATGGAATCAGCTTCCATCTTAGAGCGGATGCCGGAGAAATGAGGCTATAAGCCAGGACCCCAAGATGCTTGTGCTCAGGAATCTAAGACCAAGTGAAAGTTTAGAAACCAAATGTAACTATCATTTAACAACTCCGGAAAATGTTGATCGTAAGGAGCAATGGCTTAATTTCCTCCAATGTATCCTTAATTTATGATTAAGAATGTCCACTTTCATTTATTTCCTGTTTGACATATTCATTGAATTTCTTTTGTCAAGATTTATTTATTTATGGGAAAGTCTGACGTACAGAGAGGAGGAGAGACAGAGAGGAAGATCTTCCATCCGATGATTCACTCCCTAAGTGACCGCTATGCCGAGCCGAAGCCAGGATCCAGGAACTTCTTCCGGGTATCCCACGCAGGTGCAGGGTCCCAAGGCTTTGGGCCGTCCTCAACTGCTTTCCCAGGCCACAGGCAGGGAGCTGGAAGGGAAATGGAGCTGCTGGGACTAGAACCGGCGCCCATACGGGATCCCAGGGCACATTCCAGGCGAGGACCTCTTGTATTACCTTTTGTAATTTCTTTACCTCTTGTATTGGATATAAACCAGCACAAGTATGGAATCCTGTTGTATGGAAGTCAATGAGCCACTGCGCTGTCACCTTCCTCATTCCTACTTATCTTAAAAAAAAATGAGAATAGGCAACGATGCTGGCACAGCGTTATAGTTAGCAATATTTGACATAAACCAGTCCCAGGATGCCTGCCATTACTTGCTTTACTTCAGCAGTGAAAACACTTGCCTAGTTAAAAGACAACCAGGGCATTTGTGTGCAGTGCGGATGGATTAGACTCCTGGCAATGGGTTTGAGACAGCTCTGCTGCAGCCAGAGGCCAATTAGGGAGTGAACCGATGGCTGGATGTTACACATGACTGACAGGTATTACAAGAGAAGTGCGGAATGTTACGGGGTGCGGTCCGTCATAGCCAGCACCCATTGACAGTGGGCAAGTGGCTGTATCCCCCCCACCCTGCCCTGAAGGTGGGGCCTAACAGCAACGGAATGCTAATTTCATCCTCAGCCACTCCCCCGCACCGCCCACCTGTTTGCTCCTGCCTGCCTGTGCTCACCTGTCAACGGAGAGGGGACGGGATTGCATTGTTTGTGACCACTCCCCTCACCAGCCCTTTAAAAGGCGCGTGAAGCGGGCCTTGCGCTTTCTGCTCAGGTCCTTCAGTTACTCAGCTACCTTGACTCTTGGCCGACCCAGCACAGGTAATCCCCTGCGCACGGTCCCTGAGTACTGCTGAGATGAGACAATGGCTATGCTAATGTTGTTTCTTGGTTGTGCACAATCAGGCGTTCCAGGAGAGGTGAGGCCTCGCAGTGGTGGGATGTGGGCAGGGAAGCCAGGGAAAGGTGAATGGTCGCAGGTTTTAATTGTGTCAGATTATTTGTTGCATGTGTCCTAGCATGACCAGTAATGTTGGGGAAGCTGGGACACAGATCTTAAGGTGAATGAATG